CACAGAGCCCCCCTTCACCACCGCCTGCCTTCCCCCAGCTTCGCAGACAGGCACGGCTGGGGACGATGGCCAGGTGGATGTCACCGTTGGGTTTGTCCCCCAGCATCTTCACGCGGCCAGACAGGATCCCTGGGGACAGGAGACCGCTGCTACCGGTCACCCCTCTTCCTCCTCCCCAAGCCTCGCTCCCTGTCCAGCCCTGCAACCGGCTCTCGGCTGTCACCTCCCCGCACCTTCATCCCCATCTTCATCCTCTGAAAGACCTGGAGCTGCCAGGATTAAATGGGGTTGACTTGCCTACAGCTTTCCTGTTGGCAGGTCTCCTCCCATCCCCGCTTGTCTCTCGCTGTCCCCTCGACCACATCTGGGGCGAACCCTGCTCTTAACGAACAATTATTTATTGCTCTGCACGTCTCCCCGGGTCAGTCCTTGCCAAAACCGGGAAGCAGCTGCTCGCCCGTGTTTTCCTTCCTCAATCCGCGCTGCTCCAGTGCCCCGCGAGCTTCTTCTGGGCTCCATTAGGGGCTGCGGGCTGGGTGAGCGCTGGCAAAGGGGGCTGAGGTTTGTCCCCAAGATGCGTCTGTTGGAAAAGTCTGTCCTGATTCATCCCAGCTGTGGATTTACCCCTCCTGCCGCCCGGCTCCCAGCCTGTTTGGAAGCTCAACATCTGTGGGCTGAGCTGTTTGTCACTTGGTTGGTGTCTGAAAGCAGCTGCTTTGATGCACAAAAGCTGTTGTAGGGATTTGGAGGGCGGCGGGGGGGGGTTTATTGCTCTGGGGCAGTCGCAGCAGAGCGGTGACCGTTGAAAGGGTCTTTCATATTTAGAAGGAAAGAAAAAAAAAACAACAGCAAAAATAAAAACAAGTCGGGAATGACTAACCCCGCTGCGGCGGCCCCGGTGCGATGCAGCCACTCTTGCTCACGGAGGAGTTTATTAATTCTGTGCGATTTAACGGCGGGGTTGCCGTCGCTCTGACCCTGCTGGGACTGGGGCTCCCGGAGCCTCGGGGTGTCCTGGATGCCACCGTTGTCACTGCACCGACCGCCTCTGCTCCCCTAAAGCAGTTTTGGAAGGGCGAGCTGGGCAGCACGTCCTCCCGTAATGGCCAAAGACACCTGGTAACGTCTCCTCCCCCTCCTTTCACCAAATATCGCAAATAAACCCCCCAAAAAGCCCACGGGGCCACCAGAACTACCCCACTGCGGTTCAGTCCCTCTCTTCACCCGCACCCACGACCCAGAAAAGGTTTGACAGGCTGAAAACTGCATCATCAGCCACCTCGGATGTACTGAATGTTTCGACGCGGCGAACATAAATAAGGGTTGTTGGGGGTTTTTTGTTTTTTTTTCATGTTGGAGTATTTATATCTGCCTTTTGCAGCGGGCCTCGACTTACCATCTCCAGCAAAAATGATTAAAGTAATGAGAAAGATGTAGTTCATGAAGTTATTTGCACTTGATTAAAAGAAAAAAAAATGTATCTGAACTTTGTAAAAAGAAATGTTTGCATTTTGTATTGTCTTTTTTTAATTATTAAATGGAATTTCTTGGTGTTGTGTTGATCTTTCAAAAACTGGCTCTGACGCTTATTTTAAAGGTTTCTAACAGCAGGATCCAAAGCTATTTTCATTGTTTTGTTCCCTCGGATGCTAAGACAAGCTCTTTTCAAGGGCATAGGTTTTTTTGTTTGTTTGTTTCCCCCAGAAGCTTAAATCCTACACACTTCCATAAGCTCGCCACTCATTACACAATGGATTTATTTGTGTACACTAATTAGATGCAACGTATCTCCTTTTTCGCCCAGAACACGGCGTTGGGCAGGGACTAGCTCAGAGGGAAGCAGAAGGGATGGAAAACACTCTTCACCTTGGCCCCGAGGCCCTTGCTGAGCTGCAGCTCCCACCCCACGCCCCCCAGCACCCTCCGTTCCCCTGGATCCCGCGGGTTAAGTGGATCCCACCCGCTGGAGGACACCCATCAAGGCCTCACGAGCTGCTGCTGGGCAGGACCCCGTGGCCCCAGTCATTGGCCGCTGCAGGGCCAGCAGAAGCCTATAAATGCCAGCACCCCCCCCCCAAGCCCACTCCCCCAGAGCGAGGAGGCTGCCGGGGACGGGGCAGAGCCCTGCGCGCAGGGTGGCTCCAGGCGACCGCAGCACAAGGTAAGGGTCCCCTCTGCGGGCGAGCCGGGGGATCTTGGGGCTACGGCACGCCTGCTGAGCAGTTATACCTGCGCTGCGCACCCGCAGCTGCGGTAACCGCCTCAGTTTTGCTTGTTGCGGATGCGGGTGGAGCTGTTCCCGCTCCCCACCCTGCTCTGAACGCAGGACGATGAGGCTCCTTCCCTCAAAAGCTCTGATAGTCTGATATTCCGCTTGAACTCCTGTCCCTATCAGCTCAACACAGCGTTTCTCGCTACAAGGAAGCGAGCAGCTCTTCAGCAAACCCTTCCCAACAAGCTTTGGAGGAACAACAACCAAACACGCAGCTGTAGGTGTCCTAAAAGTTTATTGCTGCCCAATTAGTACAGGCGCTGGGGCTTCCCCATGGTGCTCTTGATATACAAAGCACGCACGTTCTGCCAGTTCTTCTTCAGCAAGGACACCAGGAAGTTGATGGCCAGGTGGATGTTGTAGACGAGTTCATCTTCTGTCATCTTCACGTGACCGACGGCCACAGCCAGGCAGAGCACCTGGGGGACACGGACACCAGGGTCACTCACGCAGGTAGAGGTTTTGCGGGGCAATCAAAGATTAGAGCCAAGTGACTTGACGAAACAGCCTAGCGCTGATCTAAACTCATCAGGGTATCAAATTATCTCGTGTTCTGTCAGCTGGACGTGACTCC